AAAAAATTTTTAAAAAATTGTTTGTGTAATGGCAAGCGCGCGTTGACAACGAGCGTTGATGTCTAATGGGCCCTTTACCAGTACTATGTCACCCTTGTTGTATGACTTTGGAACACTTTCTTTATTATGATACTGCAGCATGTTTCGCTGAACTTCTCTAAGTTGGACTGTTACTTCATTATCGAGACCCGTAGGTGCAGAATGAAAAATACTAACTGGGGTTTTATTAGTAGAAATATGGATAGTTCTATTATATTGAACTGTAGCTAAAAGAATTAGTTCCGTTGTATCATCTATTTCTTTATCGATTTTTAAACATCGAGCTATCTCACCTAAAGTGCTATGGAATCTCTCTACTTGACCATTTGATGTACTGTGAAGTGGTGGACCGTTCACTATATTGATATTAAAATAATTAAAAAGCATAGATTTGATCGTATTTGAATTAAACGAGCGTTCGTTGTCACAGTAAAAAGTTTTTGTTCCCGTAAAAAAATTTAAAACTTGTAGTAACTTTGGTTTAATATCTGTTATTGTCCGAGATTCAATCGGTTGTACGACAGCAAATTTGGAAAATTTATCAACGCATGTTAAATAGTGTTTAGAGTCTGTAGAGTAGATATCGATATGTAGTATCTGACATAATTGTGTAGAAATTGGAGTTTCTGAAATAGGATGCTAATATATTTGGCCTTTGAACATGTTTTACAATTTAAAGCTACTTCTTTAGCTAATTTATTCATCTTTGGGAAAAAATAATCACTCAGTATCTGCTTAACATTTTCTTGCGCAGCTCTATGTGCCCTATTATGTTCCGTTACAATGATTTCTTTTTGTTTATTCGGATCGAGGACATCAACGACAAATTGTTTGGTATACAGAAATTTGGTTGTTGGAAAAGTCTCTATTAATTTGTGTTGTATGTGTGCAACGATTGGTAGTTCGCAATGTACCGCATTCACTACATCTATATTCACTGCATCACATAATTCTTCGAAAAGGTTATTTTTATCACGAAAGTAAATGGTATGTCTAGTTTTTTTCCTAAACAATATAGTGGTATGTTTTGAAGAGTATTCCGACTCCATAATTATTATTTGATTCCGATAGCAATTGACTGGCTTATCGGTGGTTTCCATGGTGTAGGTTAATGATTCTTCACTATGAATAGTTGCATCTTCTGACCTTGAGTTATTGTCCAGCGCATTGATATGTTGTCGTGACAAAGCATCTGCCACGTTATTCTCTTTACCTGGTTTATAATGTAGCTTCGCATTATGTTCATCTATGAAAGCTTTCCATCGTTTGATTTTTGCATTTGTATTTCTATCAGAAACTGCGAAAGTTAGCGGCTGGTGGTCGGTAAATATATTCAAATTGCTAACACCATACAAGTAATTCCTTAAATTTTTTAGAGCTAAAAATTCTTTTTCGTTAGCTGCAAAATGCAGTTCTCCACCTTTCAAAGTTCTTGAAATCATGGTTATAGGTTTGCCGTCTTGTGATAAGACCGCTCCTAAACCGTAAGAAGAGGCATCTGTAGTTAAATCGAATGCTCTGTTAAAATCAGGATACCTAAGAATAACGTCTTCCGAAATTAAAATCTCTATTAATTTAGAGAATGCTTGAACTTGTTGGGCGTTTAATTGTATTTTGATTTTTTTTGACAGACTTGCCTTAACCTTACCATTTTCACCTTTTAAAATATCTGTTAATGGCCTAGCTATATTTGCGAAATCTTTAATAAAACACCTGTAATAACTTGCTAACCCAAGGAATGATCTCATTGCATATAGCGTGATGGGCTGTTCGAAATTCTTAATTGCTTCTATTTTTTCTGGGCATGTTTTTATACCGCCTCTTGATACAATAAAACCCAAATATTCAACTTCTGTTTTGAAAAAGTTTGATTTCTCAATCGAAACCCTCATGTTTGCATCGAAAAGAGCTTTTAAAACCCATTGAATATCTTGAACATGTTGTTCTTCTGATTTTGAAAAAATAATGACATCATCTACATAAACATGGCAGATTTTACCAATTTTCTCTCTGAGAACATCATCGATGGCCCTCTGAAAAATGCTTGGCGCGTTTTTGAGCCCGAATGGTAATCGACAGAACTCATATTTATCATTATTTACGGCGAACGCCGTTTTTTCTCT